GAAGACCTCTGCGTCTGAAAACTAGAGAATGCGCGTCTGGTGAGCGGGGCTTCAGCGTTTCAGCGTTGGCGGTCTGAAAGCACCATAAAGTCGCGTTCAGACCGGATCATGCGTTGCGTCGGCTTTCAATGCAAAGTCTATGGTGACGCGCGTTCGAGCGTCAAAATGCATGTGCGTCTCGGGATGCACTCATGGACTGCTCAGTATAGACACACGGACTGCACAGCAAAGTCGAAGGAGAGGTACAGGACCGGAAAATCTACGCACACAGGAGATAAATACTGCTGAACGTTTCCTCGGACGTTCGTGCAGCGACCAATCAGAGAGCTGCAAAAGGGTCATGGGGACATTAGTGGTCTGAGAGAGCAGACTAAACATACTGTAAACAGCCAAAACAGGAGCTACACCAGGACTAAACCAGGGTTGACAATGGGGGAATGTGTGCTTGTGAACATATGCGTTTTCATGCTCCTGTGACCTTATGCAACTCCTTCCAGTGTGTTTGCCAATGCTGAAGTACCGTTTGATAATAAAATAAACTTATTTCGCACCTTTGTGAACACATACTGTTATATAAAGTCCGTGGAAGGTCTCTGAACAAAGACACGCTGCAAAGCTGCATTATTGGAGAAGATCTTTACACGAGAAGCCGCTAGCTTAAATCTGTTAGCATCAAAGCCCGCCGGCTACTTCCAGCACGCGCCATGACTTCTGGTCTGAAGACCCCTGCGTCTGAAAACTAGAGAATGTGCATCAGGTGAACGAGGCTTCAGCGTTCCAGTGTTGGCGGTATGAAAGCAGCATAAAATAATGTTCACTACTTCTTTCAAGCATTTTTCAAAACACTTTTCAATAAATATTTGAATTAAATACTAGAAGAAAAAAAAACTACCATAGGTTAGAAATGTTGTGATTTGATATCTCGCAAAAAATTGTGTTGCTGCATTGTCCATATTAAATCTACTAAAAAAACATGTTTTGAAGCTTGTGTCACTGCTGGACTTTCCCCAAATCGTGTAAACATACCTAAATGAAGAAACTCCTTTTTCTGATTGTGGTTTTACTGTGCAATCTGAATCCCCTGTGGATGGAAGTAATGGGTAACACTAAACTGGTGGTGGGTGAAGTGTCTTCCCGGTGTTACCCAGGGGTCCAACAACACTGGCACAGGTCTGATTGGGCCAAATAGTGCTTTGATTTGTGAAGAACTAAAACACATCTGCAGCTTCTCTTGAACTAAACTGCTCTGAGAATGAGATGTCCTTTGTTATGTTATGTCCATCTTCTCAGCCTCTCTTAGCTGACCATGAATGCTTTAATCACAGAGCCGCTTCCTTCAGAATCTGCCTGGTGATGTATCCCATCTCCGTAGCTATATTTTACATCCTGGGGTGCAGCAGGAAGAGGTGGGCGTGTTGAGAATGAGGGGTGTCAGGCGTGGGGCCATGGAGTCTGCTCCTTAAGGAGGTGTGTGTCTTTGATGTGCCACTGAAATGTCAAATTACACGTAAGTCATCTTGAGGGACCAGTGTGACTCTACTTCTGTCACTCTGAATTATTGGAATGCTGCCTTCTTCCTCTTTAGTCACCTTTTTTGTCAAATTAGTTGGAATCGCTGAACATTGTAAAGCGCTTTTGGTGACTTTGGTCTGTTAAAATGCGCTATATAACAACACTTACTAATCAGACATGAGTTTGCAACTTTGCATTGATTTGAGGGTTGGATCATTCTGGGTATCAGCAGGTACTGAAAAAGCAAAAACATCATCAACATCAGTCGCACACTTGAATCCGAATTAACCGATTATGAAGTAGTTTGTCACCAGTTTTAAAAACGGAAATTTTATGATACATTGAAATCAGGCCGTATTCACGGTGGCTAACATAAGGGCTGATGTGTTGGAGCTCAGGTACAAAGTACTTTTGCTGAAAAAACATATTCACTCCAAACTCTGTCGTCACAGCTGGCTTGGGTCAGACTGATGTAAATATTGCTTCTAATCTGTGCCTCTGAAGGCCGCCATCATTCATGCACACAGCAGGCTCAAGGCAATGTGAAGCACATTGTCTAAGGACACACAGACAGTTTGACACCAGAGGCAGCCTCACTGTGGCAGCGGGTGTTCCCTATCATTTATCATTTACTGTAAACTAAGTTATGATTTACTGTTAGGGCTGAAACAACTAATCGATTAATCGACGACTAATCGATTATTGAAATAGTCGACAACTATTTTAGTAATCGATTAATCGTTTTCTGGTTCACACGGACTCAACCAGAGCAAAAATGACATGAAAATGTAGTGTTTTTGATTAAAACCGACTTTGTTTTTATAATTTCATGAATATCTGTCTGTCTCATCCAATCAGATAGCAGAATTAGCACAAAGAGCCTGTTACAAACATTTACTTTAAGTTTACGCCATCAATACGTCCTCGAGTGTTGCCACTTTAGCTTTTTGTGATGAAATAATACATTTTTTCTACGTAATTCACAGCCAAGCGATTACTCGATTAATTGTAAAAATAATCGATAGATTAATCGATTACAAAATAATCGTTAGTTGCAGCTCTATTTACTGTAAACATACACACACTTTGGTAGAATTTTGCTGACCTTTTGTCTAGACATTCTAGTCATTTTGTTTTTCTGTGAACAGGAGCTTCATATGGGGGGCTTTGTTAAGGAGCTTTTGGTAAATTGTCCCCTTCTCACTCGCTGCCATAAATGGGAGCGCTCTTACTCAGCTTTGTTACGCAGTATGATTATCTGAGATCTTTATTTGATGTGTGAAAGTTGATCTCCTTTGAAGCCCCACTTTAGGGAGCGCTCTGCTTCACTGCCTCACATCAACAGCAAACTTGCTCAGAGCCTGTTACATTTTACCACAGCAAGAACTAGAAAGCAAACCTGTTATTGCAAGGAATTCAAAAAGTAACACAACCAAAGATATAATACATTTATCATACTTCCACTAAACTGTGGAACTTGATTTCATTATTGGTTATGTAAGAAAACGTTCAACACAAGACTGTACTTTATATTAATGCTAGATCCAGTGTTTGTATTTTATTGTGAACTCTTTCTTATTTGTTCACTGTTTAACATTAAAACAACAACCTTAATGAGTACGAACATACAATATATACATCCACATAAAGTGGTGGATGCTCCAGGTTTGTGTGGAGTATTTTGTTTGGTCTTTTGAAAGTGCCTCCTGTGTTTCTCAGTTTACTCTTTGGGGTGGCTAAGGGTAAGGGTATTTCCTCTCCAGGGATATTCTGCCAGTAACATTATACCTCTATGCTAATTTGCAGTTCTGAAGCTTTCTGAAGTTCTGGAGATCTGCTTCTGGAGTCCACGATTATGTTTATCTATCTACTTTCTCAAAACCGCAACAAACTTCATTCCGTGTTTTGGATCTATTTCTCGTCTCTACTGTCAGTCTCGACTAAATGGGTCTTTATGTGCTCAGCTTCTCATTCATGTCAGCGCCACTGTTCCTCATGTCGCTGGGCTTTGGAGGTTTTTCTTGCACCAGGGCAACAGACAGGAGGCATCCAGCCACAGTTGTAATTAGATTTTTCCCTGATTTTTGATGAAGTGCCAGCAGTGCTACCATTGCACCAGAGGCCTGCCCCACCCTGGCACGCCATGAAGGGGAGCTGTCGTTGGTTGCATAAATTGTCAGCTTGCACGGAGGGTCATAATGTCACAGCGAGGGTCTTGGGAGAACTGCTGTCACACTTTGTCCAGGCCAGCTGCATGTGGTCAGAGAATGTCCCCAGGAGGTGTTTTCAGTAATGTGTGGACTGAGGGGGTCTGACCAAAGGTTGGAACTTGGAGTGATTGGAATGTGAGATATTACATGCAGTTTATGGAAAACCTAAATTGAGATACCGTTGGCAATCACAAATTCAACAGTATTTATTGTCATTTATCCACTTTCTATTACAGAAGAGTTTTCTTTGTTGTCTTTTAGAGTTACATGAATGGTTTTTCTTTATTAGTTATATAGTTTTCATTTAAGCATATTAAGCTGGGCAAAACTGCATTAAAACAAGCTCAAGAGGTGTGCCATGACCTGTGTGTGTTGACCTGCTCATACCATTAACAAACACAGGATAATCCAGAGGCCCGGCTCTGGAGGTATCAGCCTCATGATCTGACAGTCAGCACCCTGTCTGCTCCTTTTTCTGGGTCAGGCCACCCACATGGGGTCCAAGCAAAACCTATAAATCACCTATAATAATAATCATAATGAAAAGGATAATAATCATCATCGTCATAATGATTTGTCATCATGATAATATAATATATCTCTTTCCATATTCTATATAAATGGAGTATAAATGGAGAAGAGTGGATCTTTTATTCATATTTGATTCACAAGATTGACCTAATGAATTATCAATAATAATAATGAAGTTCCCTTGATTATTAGCCTTATACTGTGCAAACAGAGTGCTGGTTTTCCATAGACCTTTATTCAAATAAAAGAAAAGTAAACTTCTCATAACTGGGCTGGTTAAAATAATGTGTCTCGGAAACATCATGTATATTGTTATTTACATACTGTATGTGTGGCTGCACATAAGTCATGTTTTTGGGGCAGATGACTCTAATGCCACTTAAGACACCTGATCCAACTTTTCCATCATGAAGCTGAGGATCACATGCCCTTTCAGTCATTGTGGTATGTGCTCACATGCAGAGCTGCCAGCAGGCCAGGGCGAAAATGACCCAGGATGAAAACAAGCATATCTCTGCAAAAACATCCAGGCTTCACAGAAATAGCCCCACAGTCTAAACCTCTTTCTCAGAACTTCAATGTGGCACAAATACAGTCGGGATTTTGATGTTTACTCTCATGGCCCCAGTCTTGACATTATGTTCGATCTACACATATAAGTATTGGTGCAAATGGTCAAGCATAAGAAATGTAGCTTTTGTAAAACTTTCATATTCAAACTATTATTTATTTCTTATTTGGTTTTAGGATTCAGCTGATGTCTGCGCAGAAGGAAGTGGCAAGGAACACTATCGTTTAGAAGGTAAGATCGTAACTTTATTTTCAAAATGACAACTATGTTTGAGTAAAGAAAATCCATTTATCAGAAATGATTTTCAAAGTCCCAACAATATGCTGAGGCAGTCTCTTCTCTGCTTCTCCCCTCCCCCTCTGGGCTTGAAAAAATTCCTCCTTCCCCCATGTTTTATCCCTGATGTGATGTGATCCTGGATTAAGAGCTCTTCAAAGAGAAAGCTTTTGTCCCGCATCTAAAGTCAACATGAGGTGATAGGAGGGGTGTGAATGTTTATAGAAAATTATTATAAGAATGTGTCTAGTACTGTCTTTGCTACTGTCTTCCCATTTGTTAATGGGATGCATTCCTTTTTAATCATCAATTAGCCACCCCCCACCTGCCTAATATGCATTGTGTGTGAACATCCCTCCAGGCAATCGTGCCTGCATTCTCAATTTACAACTAATATTTAGGAGAATATTGGCTTTTCTTGCGTCTTTCAGCAGAATCTAATCTTGACACATGCGATCCACAGTTTCCTCGAATGAGCACATGGCAAAGGAAACCTTGATTTATCACTTGGATTTGTCACATGGACTCATGACTAGTCCAGATGTGATTTGTAAAAATAATCTGCATTTAGTGAAGTTATATTTATTGTAGCAGAATCCTTAGAATATGTTTTCCACGATAAACAAAGGCCAGCACAAGCTGTTACCCATGCTTCTTTTAGCGGCCTTGTTCTGCATCGACCTGGTGCCCATGGGAGGGGATCCTGCCCCTATGCCGGTGCTTTGTGGAAAGTGTGGCTCAGTTGACTTGTAATTCACCTGTTCTGTGGAGCCAGATCACGTTGATGTAATACAGTACTCTGTACAGTGTGACAGACCTCAGCAGCCTCTGCTCGTGTGGAGAGCAGCGCTGCTGGAACGGGACAGTGGTGTCTGTGCCAGCTCACACTGCCCTCATGTTGCTCTCAAATACTCTCCCCTCACAAGGCCGCTTCTCTCATAGAGAGATTTATGACTGTTTTGTGGTGACAGAGGGAGGCGGGTGACTGCAGATTATCGTTTCTCCTCCTGGCATTCCATTAGCTGCAGATTAGCATCTTCCACCGGATTGAGTCGGCAATAGGACAGATTTGCCTTCACACGTTTCCTTTGCACACCTCCAACGATCAAACAGCAGGGACTAGAATGCTACTCCTCTCCAAAAGTTGGTAAAAGCTCCCTGGGATGATGCCTTTCATTTCTGGCATTTCCCCTGCCCAGGGATGAGACAGGTCCTCTTTGATCTGCTTTGGATCAGGAGGAGAGAAATGGGGCTGTTGTGCCTGCTCAGTTGGCGAGCAAACAAACAGTGTTTCAGATTTGACTTGGCTTAATTAATTAGTGATTCTGTTTTACAGCCGTTCTGATCTTCTTCCAAAAGGTTTGAAAATGGAACTTCAAAGTATAGTGGATGGAGGAGGTTGGCTATCCTCTGTATAGAGGATTCTGATTGGATGTGGCTCGGGTGCTTTTGCTGAGATAATGACTGTAGGTGTAATCCAGTGAGGCTTTGAACGGCGTATTGCCTGTAAATCTCAGTTACATAGTGTCTGTGATTTGTAAATCAAACACCTGCATGGGAATGCCATGATCAAACAATATTATATAGAACGTCAGTGCCAAAAACACAGATATACTAATAATGGAGTCTTCAACAGTCTATAGAAATGAAACTCATCAACCTATTGTTTCTGACCAAACACAGTAATTGATGGTCATGCTCATGAATAAAAGGTACAAGGAAAAACTTTCTATTTTGAGTAATCCCATATAGATTGTAAGATTAAGAGATCCTTTATTCGTCCCACAGCAGGGAATATGTGGGAATATATTGTGCCGACAACATTACAAAATGAGTTAATACTAATCAAGGAAGAATGTTTAAAAGTTTGAAAGGTTTACACATTTTTTTCTATTTTGTTACGCTTGCCTGCTTAATACTGTGATGTTAGACATCTGGGAAAACCTGGTACCACAGTGGGACATCTGCGGCTGTAAAGGGCCAAGCTTGGTGGTGGTCGGTGTGGTCAATGGCACATACCTTGCTTGCAGGGCAGCAGTGGCTACAGTAGTAGCTTATTACCACCGTGTATGGAATGAGAGAATAATGCCATGTGATGCGTCTGTAAGCATCCAACAGAACGCTGTATAAAATGGATGCGTTAATATCCAAAGTACTTAGGATGAGTATTAAATTGAAGATGTCAGTATCTTTGTAAGTGACAAAGATGCGGTCATGGTCAGTCATCCATCTTCCCCTGAAGATGTCTGCCCCCCATCTGTCAGTGTGTGGTGAACATACAGTGCATCAAAAGACAATGCACACGACATACTAAACATCCCCTGTAGGCCGTGTTATGTGTCAGTGTGAATACATGTTGAATGTCACGTCATAGCATGAAGCACTCTGTTTCACTGAGGCGGGACCCAGGGGCCTCCTATAGACTTTTGGATGTGAACATTCAGTCCTTATCCCACTCATTTATATTCAAATAGCACAGGAAGCTCTCATGTTTGAGACATGTTTTCTCTTTCACTTTTATGTCAGGTATTTTTGCTATGTGCTCTTAAGCGGCTAGACAAACATTATTGCAAGTGATATTTGGACCAGAGAGCTTCAGAAAACAGCAGGCTGTAAATCCAACTTTAACACTATAATAATTGTTTCCCCTCAAAGTTATATTCAGGCTGATTTCATGCTTGAGTAATGTTTGAGTAATGCCCTCCACGGTATCACCATCATTTATATATATTGTGTGGTAGAGCTGGGCCATCTGGGGAAAAAAATGACTAAGATTTTTTTTCTCTTAAAAAAAACAAGAACAAAATAACTTCTATGACAAACAAAATATATATATTTTTTGATTTGACAAACTTTCACAGTGATTTGTAGGCGTGAAACCAGTTCCTGAAATGAAATATAAACTACACTGTAAACCCTAACTTCAATCCTACTTCAGATATCAAAGTTATTTTAAATAGATTTTTCCCAGTAAGTAAATATTACTCATTTATTGTTAGTTTATTTAAAGCTTGCCTATGTTACTCAGGGTTTTCTTTGAATTGAACTGTTCCTGTACAAGTAAGCCTCACTTTTGACATTTTGACGTGTAGAATCTTTAATGAGGCAGGTATGTTAATGCCAGGGTGGCCTGGTGGCTGAGTGGGTAACACCATTACCTCTCAACTACAGGGTACTGAGTACGAATCCCGGTCGGAACATAGGTAGAAATTTAAACTTTATTGCAATAACTTGAGTTACTTGGTAATATCAAGTAAAGGATGTACTCGAGGAATTCAAGTGAAGTTAATACACAATTTATTTCCATGGTTTTTTCAAGTAAACTTTACTTGTCAGGGTTTACAGTGTATCGGGAAGTAGTTGCTTATAATTGATATATATTTACACTACCGTTCAAAAGTTTGGGGTCACATTGAAATGTCCTTATTTTTGAAGGAAAAGCACTGTAGATAACTTTAAACTAGTCTTAACTGTAAATAAATACACTCTATACATTGCTTATGTGGTAAATGACTATTCTAGCTGCAAATGTCTGGTTTTTGGTGCAATGTTGTAATTGCTGCAAATGGAGGATTCTTTGACGAAAGCAAAGTTGGATGTAAAACAAATCTTATTTCAAATACAAATCATTATTTCTAACCTTGTCAATGTCTTGACTCTATTTTCTATTCATTTCCCAACGTATGGTGGTGAATAAGTGTGACTTTTCATGGAAAACACTTGGGTGACCCCAAACTTTTGAACGGTAGTGTATATACAATACTAAATATTTGGCTCATTTCATGTGAATTTGTCTGTTTTCCTTTTTTTGTCCAGCTGTACTAGACTAATTATTGCCTCGTCCAGTCTACTGGTCAAATCAACAGTGATACCACTCAGCTATGCAACGCTGTCGCAGGGCCCCATGCGTACTGTATATGCTGGGCGCTGGAGGAGTGCCTCTCCCTCTCTTTTTTTAAAGACAGCACTGCGCTTCCGCCAGAGAACACCTTTATCTCTAAGCCTTAGTGGCATCAGGATGGGTCAAATGCAGAATATGAATGGCCCTACTGGGATAAATAAAGTGCACCTGTACTAATTATTGGTGTAAATATCGATCCTAAAAAGGATACAAATCCGTAGACCTCTCCAAAATTATATGGCATTGCTGAAAAAAAAAAAAAACTATTAACAAAATTTCTTCCAAGAACATGCGTCTTAATTGTAACTTCCAGATGTGGAAGTCATGTGTTATCGGGGTACATGAATGCAGCTGCATCTCTTCAGGTCTGCAGACTTCAATCTGTGTTTGTGGCTCTACAGTGGCTCTTCCCCCGGAGAAGACCGACACCTGCTGTGTGGAGGAGAAGATGCTGCAGAGGGACAGCCAGTCTCCCGCAGGGCCGCAGAAACAGCTCCAGTTTGAAGTGAGTGTCAGCCCTAAGCACACTGTTGTTTAAGGCCTCCCCTCTGGAAGAAACTAGGGCATGTACGTAGTGTACTCACACATCGCATTTGATGAGGTAATGTTGCCTTTTCTAGGAGCTGGAGTGTGCGGTGTCTGTGGAGGAAGATAACAGGCAGGAGTGGACTTTCACCCTTTATGACTTTGACAACAATGGCAAAGTTACTAGAGAGGTACTTTATATTGTAGTAGCTGTAGACATATTCCATCTGACAAGGGCAATGGATTATGCTAAATATATAACACAACATGATGTATTTCATGGTGGTTGATTCACTTTTCTCCATTCAAAACACTGATAGTCAATACTTACTGGTTTGATAATCAGTTACTTATTGTGTAGACATGTCCCTTAAACATTATCAGGATACAAAGAGAACTATTTTATTGGGGAATCTTCTGTATTATTTCAGGAGTCTGCCCTGTCTCGTTCCTCTGCTTTAGTCCTGATGTTTCTTTCATAAATACGTCATTTATAATCCTACATTATACTGATAGAGTCTCATCAACAGCTGACAAGAGAGTCTTCCTGTTCTCGCTAGATTTGAACTTTTAAGTACTTGACAGATTCTCATATTCATTTTAATATTTAGTACATATTTCTCCCTGTCCCATCCCATCTGTATGAGATAACCATGTGTGTCTTGTAGGATATCACCAGCTTGCTTCACACCATCTATGAAGTGGTGGACGCGTCAGTGAACCATTCTCCCAGCAGTAGTAAGACACTCCGGGTCAAGCTCTCTGTTGCCCCTGACTGCAGCCAACGGTGGAAAAGCTGCCCACAAGGTTTGTTCATTTTAACCAGAGCTGAGACTTCTGATGGCGGCAGAGGGTGGAGAGGGCGTTCTCGGGTCCCTCTGTGCACGGCGCTTACGGCTCAGTCAGACAGCCGTGTTTGTCACGTAGAAAGGCGATTGCTCAAAGCCTGTCACAGCTTTGTTCCTCTCAGGCTGCATCGCTCCATCTCTTCTACTCAATGGGGTTCATTTTTAATGATGGGGGGAGTGACAGAGCCCAGAGAACTCTCCCTGCCCCCACCCTGTCGCCTTCAAATACTCTGAAAGAAACCTTAAGAGTTGTAAAGAATCCTTTTGATAACCACAGCCATTTTTATGTTCCTTTTTTCTTCTTCAAACCAACTCCTCTAAGCTGCGGGGAAAATATAGCTACGTTCAACTTAACTTTTCTCACTGCTGTCGACTTGGTAAACAAGAGTGAGGAGAAATATCCTATATCCTATTGTTTTAGCTATAAATATCTGAGTAAAAGAGACTTTGAATCTTGTGTGGTGTGCTTCATTCTAATTTTGAGCTACCGCAAAAGTTGCATTCTTAATAATCTCAATCCGAGGCCAGCTCCAGTCAGTGCTTTACAGAGCAGTGGATGGAAATAGAATAAATGAAGCGTTGTTTTTCTTCTTCTATAGATCTTCAAAGTAAAATGCTAAAACAAAGGTTGCTTTCTTCAAGGCTTGTGTGAGACTGTTATTCATGATCTTTGTGTGTGGTTGACTCTCTCGTGTGAAGCTCTCTTTTAAAATAGCCTCATGTCTTTCGCCCATAAACAGACACGTCCCACTCCAGAGAGAAAAATGACAAGTGCGCAGAAGACCCCAAGAGTGCTGACAAAAAGACTCGAGCGCTCCTAAGGTAAACCAAGACTCTGTTAAGGCTGGGGTGGAATCCATGTTTAAAGTCACTCAGGGGCTATTTTTACTTTTGCTGTATAAAGTTGGTGTAACCTCTTATTGCTTAGGCTGAGGTTTAGACCAGTGATTTTCCAGTCATAATTCTACTTCCTCAACCATTATTCCCCAGCTGCTTGGTCATAAAAAACACTTATTTAACTTTCATCAAGCACATTATTCTGAAGTTGAAGTGCCCGATGGGCCTGATGAGAGGTGACTGCTATGTTCACAGGCGCCACCACAGTGACCACCACACCCAGTCGAGCTGCCCACGCCACTGTGTTGACGAGAACCTGGAACGCAGGAACCACTATTTAGATCTGGCTGGCATTGAGAACTACACGTCTCGTTTTGGAACTGGTGAGTAGGCAAGGACGAGATGTATGAACTATGTATTCACAAAGATGCTTAAAATATTCACCTTCTTTATAAAACATTTACATATACAGACTTTGTGAGATCTGATTCCAAAAAACAAGTCACACAACAGCTTATAAATGTGGTTCCACTGTATGACCGTGTGTGACATGGGTGGCCTTTTCTCAGTAGGTAGTGCAAGTGTCCTCTAATCTTAAGGTTAGCGTTTAGAATTTCACTTAAGAATTTCACTCATGGCGGAGGGAGGGCCTTAGCCCAAAATGTCACTATCGTGGTCTGTAAATTAAAGGCACTTGGGAGCTACATACCTGTGCAGATTTGTCTTTATTATTTCATATTGTGCACTTTTCAAAAAAATCTAGCATGCTAGTTTAGGCTGCATTTCACTCTTGACCTAACAATATCAGTTGAGCGGCCAGATCACACAGGTTGGCAGGTGGAAAACCAGCTCCCATTGGTCTATTTCCTTCGTGCCTCCTTAGGCAAGAAACTTAACCCATCTCGCCCCCAGTTCCTTGATGTTAAGTGCTTTGAGTTCCTTAAACAACAGAAAAGATCTAGCACTTGTGACAATTTGCCACACCACACCTGGTTTAAAACATGGCCATATATTCATTGTGTAATGTGTGGAGAAAAGTTCTTTCCTGTGAATCCTTTGGTGATTCTCGTTCTCTCTCCCTGTGACAGTACCTGCAACAGAAACAACAAAAGCTGAGCCCCAGACACGGCCATCGAACCAGACGCGCTCACGCTCTCAAGAACCTGAAAACGGCAACTCCTACTCCCAGCATCACCGCTTACAGGCAGTGGTGGCCACGCCCGACGGCCTTCATGGGGTCCGGTTACGTGTACACGAGTCAGGCAAGCACAGCACCCGTTCTCCCAAGACCCACAGCCGAACGCCTCCTGTGCAAAACAGCGGCAGGGCGATGAGAAGCCGAGGGAACTCCTCTGCCCCGGCCTTGCCCAGCCAAACACCCCCTCACCAGTCTACAGCGCCTTATCGCAAGCTCAAGCAACGGTCTAAAGACAGCCATGGCCATCGGGCTTTGGGACATGTTTCTACCACAGGGGCGGTTGTGGAGAAGGAGCGGGTTCAGGACATGCCCAGTGTGGTGCTCTATGATGGGGCGTTAGCACAAGTGGTCCAGCGACACGAACATCATCACCACCACGAACACCACCACCATTACCACCACTTCTACCAGTCATGAACTACTCCAACTTAAAAGCCGGATTGCCCCAGCAAACTTTTGCCTCAGAGTGTCTTTTTACAAATACTGACTGGGTTTTGTGGAATAGAGGACAGTCTCTGGGAAGCCACAACAAAGACGTTTGTAAGGAAATGGTTCAGACATAACAGAGTTTGGTAAAAGCAACAGGGACACAATCCAAGGCCGCAGCTGGCGTTAGAAAGCTCACAAAACCAAGTGAACTGTTTAAAATGCACCGCCTTTGTAATCCACTAAGCAACTGGGGTTAAATGAATTTGGGGATGTTAAGAGTGAAGAGCTAACTGAAGTAAAAGAGGAGAGCAGGGCATAATTGTTGTGTTTGTGAGAAAGACAGTTTTATGTACTATTGCCTGTGGGTGTCACAACACTGGTGTTTGTGGAGAAACCACTTGAATGAATGCTATTTAAAACTGGATGCTTGTTCAATGATTGCATTGAAAAGAAAAAAGGAAATGAAGAAAGAAAGAGACTCTCTTTATAGCACATGCAATATCCCCAGTGGTAAAACTATGAAGGAACCTGCTGAGAAGTAAAATGAAGATCCCAAATCTGCTGCTACCTCTAATATAATCCTAATTATTATTATGATTTGAGCTAAAATATGTACACAGAGAGTAGACATGATGAAGTTGTAAAAAACCTCTTTTATTAACAGTTACATGTACATAGCTGTATGTTGTTAGCCATTTTATAAGCTTTTTTGATTATGTGATACCTTTGTATTCACTAAATTCATCATGCTTGTCTTTTTTGACCACTTGATCTAACTGTATGAATTTTTTTTATACATCTACTAGTGCATTGTAGTGGCGTTTGAACAAACTATTTGAATTTGGAATTATAAATCCCTTCCCCAAATTTATTCATTTCATATTGACACATTTTGTATGTTTCCACTGGAGTTAGCCAGCATTTTTCTGACAAATTTCTGTCCCTTGTTGTCTATGCAGTCCTCTAAATTTAACACTGTGTCCCCATTAGTTGACAACAAGAAATGGCATGCGGCGTGGTTTGGTGCAGCTGTCTCATTCCGATGGTTGCTGCCATGTTGTCTCCACTATCTCTGCAGGGGGCCCCCTCACTGCTCATATAAACTTATTCCATGTAGTCAAGATGTTTGACTACAGCAACATTATGAGTTACATCAACACGCCTTCACTTGGCTTCACTTCTGAATTTTGTTTTATGGGTAGTGCCTTGGAATTAACACAATATAAAAACATGCTGCCATGTATTGGCTCATACTTGGTTTGGGGTTGGGATGAGCAGTATCCGTGTAATCTACGCATCTGTTGTAAGACAGATAGCCTCATAAAACTGACACTATTTTGTTTTCTAAAAAACTATCACTGTTTTTTGCAGTAAAATCTCTAATGATTGCATGTACCTGTATGTTACTTTTCACTCCTGAAAAGTCGCAATGTTTGCCAATGGCAATGTTTGTTAATCATTCTCACTCCTTATTTTCTAAATGGTTTAGTGAAAACACAAAGTAGAAGGGTAATTGATTACGTGCTTTATTTATTGAATTGCAAACCTGTGCCAAGGGAAATTACATTTTTGCGATATTAAAGATATCCCTGTTATAAACATTTGTAGTTGTTCTTTTTCATGAGAGCTGCTTTTTCAGGAGGAAAATTTATCTTTAAAGTATCCAGGGGAAAGTTAGTCAATACAACTGTGAGTGCCAGCCTTAGTTGGGATAGTGTCATATCCTTTATATTCACTTATTCTTCATTACTAGTGCACAAAATAAGTTTAAATGTAGTGGTGGGCCACTGAATAATACATTCTGGAATATGCAGCAACATTTCTAAATTCTTTGGGGAACTACCTAGACGGGGTTGGCGAGCTGCTGGTAGCTCCTGATTGTCAGGTTGAGGACCTGCCCAAAAATATGGTCCAAATCAACATTTCACCATCCGGTGCCCTCACTTGTTGTGAGGCTGAGCAGCTTAGAGACAACCACTTTTATGTCTCTAAACTCATGACATCATTCCAAATGTCCTTTTACAACTATTTACATCTCATGCGTGGGGCAACACAGTCTAGGTATCCTGACTGGACTTTGCATGTTCTCTACATTTGTCTGCTCCGGTTACTCATACAGCAAAATCGGATTTAAAAAAAACTGTCTAAAAGGCTCCTCCACCCCGTGGCTATGTCTCCCACAGAAAAGAGAATCTGAAATCACAGGGGACTGTCCAGGTAAAAAAAAGCCGATAAATACATGCATTGCTGTGTAGCATTCAGAATATCCAAACAAGAATGCAATAGTGCTTTACACCAATGCATTTAGATTATTCATACGATGTGCTGAACCAGATGTGTTTTTGAGAAACTAAAGTTTTCTCTGGAAACCTTTGCAGCTCACATAATCTACAGCTGAGTGAGCTGTTCTTTGCTCACTACCATAAAACATTTTTGGACTATTTTTTTCAGTGACTTTGATCTACAGTCCTTTCAGCGCACATGATGTATATTGGTAATGGCTTTGGTGTTCATGGAGATCTCCTTCAGCTGTGTGATGCATTCACGACTTTGAAATGACACCATGAGAGACAGTGTTCTTCACATCTCTGCAACCAAGAACCTACAAGATTTCAGGTGTGTGTCGACCAATCTTCACTTTTGAAAGTTTGCCATAGCTCGCAACATGTAAAAAAACATGATATTTTGCAGAAGAATTAAGTTTTTAATTACATTTTTTATCTATTTTTAATTTTGTGTGAAGTAGGTCATGTGGTGTAGGTCACCAAAAACCTTATGCTTGTTCAATATGCATTTTCACGATCAAGCTGAATCTGTGTGTTAAAGCAGACGACCGTAAATATAGCATTTCGGCCTCAGTATGGTCTGCAAAGCAATTTGTGTGTTCACACTAATGACTTATATAGAGATCCTTTATTTGTCCCACAGTGGGGAAATTTCGTATTGGGAAGGCCTCTTGGCCAGAACATCCTTGGAAGACAAAATGTTGAATCTCAATGGGATTTTCCTGGTTAAAAAGGCATAAATGTTAAACAACCAAACTTGTTACACTGCTTGAACCAGGAGAATTTGAGTTTTTCTACAGTGTAAACATCTGCAGACTTGACTTCTGCTGTATTGAAATAAACAGCAGTGATGTGGAGATGTTTCTACTGTCATGTCATTTGAGCCATGTTTACTGCTTTACATGTGTTTAAAAAGAATATTTATTATTAAACCTGATGTAATATGAGTTACTTTCTTGAGACAGGAAATCAGAAGTGTAATTTTGTATAGCATAGATTATGAATGTTATTATTCAAATAATCATTGTAGGAAGAAAGATTAAGAGTTCACTGTAAAAGATGAAAATACTTTATCTTCCGGTGTAGAAAGATGAAAGAAGCGTTATTCAATAAAACATGTGCAGACGTGATGCCACCAGCCTGGTGGCACTGATATTGACTGAGTTTGTGGAAATGAGAAGCTGCTATGATATGTTGTGTGCTTTGTTTCCAGCAGAAACACAGCAGCTTTGAAGAGAGGCCTTGCCCAGCAGGGTGCCAGACGCCAGAAAAGCAAGATGCTAAATGCTGCGGATGAGAAGGACATGAGGAAGACTATTAACAATACCGGAGCGAAGAGCGAAACAGGCAAATCCAATGATAATGTACATCTGCTCCACTCAATTTATGAGCTTTGAACATTTTTTTCATGTGGTACAAGTAGATATTTTTTCTTACCGGATCTCATAACTTCAAAGCAGATTGGCTTTGGATAGAGCAAATGACTGACTATGACGGTTTGTGTCTGCTCAAGAGCATGAAAGAAAAAGGGAATTAAAGCTAATTGGCATGGCGGTCTTTTATGTGAGATAAGAAGGGGAAAATAAAACAGTTCAATCATTGTCAAGTTCTCTCGATTAGAAACCACTACTGAAGATCCGCTGCAGCAGCCATCTTACTGTTGGAATCTTGCCCTCTTACTTGATATTATTTCTGTTCAAATTTTGCAGATTAAGCATATATATACGCAGGATTTAATGTGTCTTTTGTCTTCAACTAATAACAACTAACAATGTGAACCTGATATTTTCCAAATGTTGAATAAGAAAATTATTGGTTTGAAGAGCAAAGGTACAGTATGTATTTCAGTTGATAAAAGCACAAAGACAATCATTATATATATTGTCCGTAGAGCAGGAGCTGATGTGGCCATGCATCTGGGTGCCCCTTGGGAATCTGTGGACATGTGTGACCCAGTGTGTGGTGGGATGACTGATGGTTTCATTACACACATCTTTCAGCAAGATGAACCACACCGGAGCCCACTGACACACTTATGTCCCTGCAGCCTAAATAATGCATCACTTTGTCCTGTTACTAAAGTTTTTCCAGTTTTATACTTGGAAGAAATAGATATATTTGGAGCACAATAAGAACAACCTAATTTCAAGCAAAAAGTCCAAACCTGGCCTGAACGGGGTGCTTACAATAGATTGGGATACACATTAGTTCATATTCCTCTGGCACAGTCTGGACACTGAAAGACCATAAAGATGATAAAATATGGACTGTAGATGCTCTTTTTAACATTAGAATTAGCATTTTATGCTTAAAATCCTGGTTGACAGAAAACTATCCCCAGACAAAACATATAGCTCAGAGAGAGAGAAACTTTTAAACACTGTAAGGATTAGATAGCTATTTGCCTACGTGCAGGACAACTGCAAGACTATACAAGGACTCTGATTGTGTATCCATGTTTTGACTATGATTTGCTCTGACTGTCTCTGAATGACACGTATGTCTTTCGATGGTCTGAGAGAAAGAAACAATTGAAACCACTGGAACTTGAGAGAAACCTTGATGAACTCCCAGAGCTTGGCGCACCACAATCCATCTCTGTCTGGTTCATTCCTGACAACACCAAACACATTCTTTTAATCCATCATCAAACGTGAGAAACCGCCATTTTTCACTTTTATTCCTCACATTAAGAACTTCACA